CTGCTCATAAGGCTCGTTCACCGCCGCGGGTCGGCAGCTCCTGGCTGCCCTCCCCGATGTGGCCGTGGGGCTGTTCGGTACCGGCTCAGCCGGACACTGCCAGCAGCTGGAACGGGACTAGGACAGTGCCAGCTCCTGCTCTTGCTCGAGCCTGTGAGTGGGGCACGGCCAAGAGTGCGAGTGGCCGGGCCTTCCCACAGCCGCCTGTGCATGTGTGAGGCGACAGGGAGAGGGAGCCGGGGCTGAAAAGACCAAACCACGGAACTGCAGAGGGGAAAGGGAAATTGCTTCCTCCCCGTGTGCAGACTGGTATTTGTACCAAGAAGTAGCATGAAGTGATTTTACATAAGTAGCTGGTCTCCTTTATTAAGGGAGACAAAACAAGGAGCCACTGGAGAGGGTCCAGCAGAGGGCAACAAAGATGAAAGGTCTGAAGTACGTGTCTTATGTGGAGAGACCGCAGGAGTTGGGCCTGTTTAGTCCAGAGAAAAGTGAGAGGGGATCTTATTAATGTATATAAGTACCTCAAAGGAGTTTGTCAAGAGGGTGATGCTCAGCAACAGGATGAGGAGTACTGGCCATAAAGTAAAACAAGAAGTTTCACCTCAACATTAGGAAGAGCTTTATCCTGAGGGTGGCAGGGCACTGGAATAGGCTGCTCAGGGGGCTCATGCAGTCTCCTTCTCTGGAGATACACTAAACCCACCTGGCCGTGTTCCTGTGTCACCTTCCTTGGTTGGGAAATTGAACTGGATCTCCAAAGGTCCCTTCTAACCCCAGCAGTTCTGTGTTTCTGTGCAAATTGTTTCAGCCTCGGCCAATTAAAGTCTTCTCTGCCTCCCTTAGAACGGTAATGGTTGGTAATGTTTTATTCTTTTAGTGTTTCTCTTGTAGCAGTAAATAGAGCCTTGCACTGGGAAGCTTCCCAAATAGATACTGTAGCTGACAGACCTCACATAAAGGCACGTTTTCATGGGGGCTGTTTGTCTGCCTGCTGAATGTAACACAGATGGTAAAAATGGGATCCTTGGGCTCTTAGAGCATCCATCCCTTTGCCAGGAGGGAGCAGGTAAGACAACCTGGAAATCTTCGCTGCAGGGTATTCCTTCTGCTGCTTCCCTGGGCTGTGTTTGATTTTACAGAGGAGGGCAGTGGAGGCCTGACTGTTCCAGGGTTTCCCTGTGCAACAGGAGCAGGACTGTGGTGCCAGTGCCTGCCAGGCTGGAGCCAAGTTGGTTTCCCCAGCTCTCCCTGCAGCAGCATTCCTAGGGGACAGCTGCCAGCTGCTCATTAGTTGTTTGTGTGGTGATTTTTGGGAGAAATTGGAGTAGAGGAGGTTGTGGCCTCTCTGAGACAGTGTTGAAAAGCAGCCATCAATAGAGGAATGGCAATGAGCGCTCAGGGAAAGCCATAGTTGCTCCAGGGACTGTGAGTCAGAAAAGAGAGGGGCCCTCATTTCTCATGGATCACAGCAGGAAAATGTGGTTGTTGTTCTGTTTGTCTCAAACAGTTCCAAGTGTGATATGCAGCAGCTGTTTTGTAAGGTTTCATTTCCTTTGTCTCCTGCAGTCATCTTGTTTGTTTTTATTCCCCCTCTGTCTGGCTCTGCCTCTTCTCTCCTTTAGGAGACCGACTTCCCTCTAGCAGGGTTTGCCCCTCCTGACCTTTTTATCTTTCAAGTGTTTCTCTTCCCTCTATTATGTTGTGACGTTTTCTCCTTCCTCTGCTCTTTGCTCTGGCTCTGTCCCCTTTGTTTGCCCTCTGGGGATGGTAACAGTGTGAAACACCCTTGACCCACGAAGTCCAGGTCTTCTGTGAGCATCTCTGCCAACCTCTGACTTGTGGTTTATGAAGAGAGAGAGAAAAAGAAATAATCTAGGAGAGACTGAAGGTCTTCCTGAAGGGAAACCAGGGTGACCCACCTGTGGGGTGGAGAGCCAGGGACTGGAGCTGAAGGTTGGTGTGTCAGTGGCTTTCTGGGACCCAGGACAGGCAGCAGAGCTGTGCCTGTGTGTGGGCAGCTCACTTCTGCCCTGCCATGGGCACAGACTGGCCTCTGACCTCTGGAGGTGGCAGCTCTGGGAAGGAGCAGGTTGCAGGGCTTAGCTGGTTGGCTGGCACAAGAGTCCTTTTTGGGCATAGTCCTTTGTTACTGTTATGGTGTGAGTAACTGGTTTTGTGCTTGTGGGCTGGGATTAGGGCTAGCAATCTGCATTCTGTCAGAGGGGAACCTGTTATTTAGTATCCCAAGGAACTCACACTCTTCTCTTGCCTTGTTTTTTAGCCCAGAAGAGCTGCAAATGCTGTCCTGTGGAGAACCCACGGACTGTGGTCAGCTGGTGCTTAGCCAGTGACCTGTGGTAGCACCAGGTGAATCTCAGCACTGACAGATCAGTAGGTGGCAACGAGGTGTGGAAGCCAGAAACTTCAGAAACTTCACCACAATGAGATGCATCACCCATCCACTGCTCAGGAAGTTGTTGAGCCTCCCAGCCCAGTGTGTGCCAGGACTGGGGACTCCAAGGAAAGGTGCTGTGCTCAGTCCAAAGCAGTTGTTTCTGAGGCAGAGCTGCAGTGCAGGACCTGGGCTCGTGACTGCCACTGATATGGTCAACTATTGGCAGAAGGTGTTTGAGACAAATGGGATCCCTGAAGCACGAGAATCCAGTCAATATATTGTGTCATTTGTCCTGGGAGCAAAAACAGTTAAGTAATAGGAAAAGAGTAATGTCTGTGTGTGCTTCTCACTTCTTCATTTTGACTGAATCTCTTTTTTATCTCATTTAGAGGGAATAGAACAACTTATCCTCCCTTAGATGGCAGAGGGGGTGAGGGGTAGTGTATTATTGCCAGTAGAATACTCAGGGGTCTCTTAAAATCTCTTTTGCAGACTCTGAAGTGTAACATAAACATCCACCCTCACTTGCCTGATGAAGTGATTCTTAATTTTAATTGTTCTTGTCAACCCCAAAAAGTAGCAGTACAGTAGTAAAGGTTTGTTTCTAAACACGCAGATAAGTTCTTCTGATGGCTGTCCAGCTGGTTTCTAGCAGTCCCAGGCAATTGTGTTTGCCAGCATCCTGTGACACTCTGGAGGATGCCTGTGGCAGAGGACCCTCCAGTGGCACAGGTGGGCAGGTTTAAAGTGACTTTGTCTTCAGTTTCAGAGTCTGGATTCCAAAAGCCTCCACACTCCACTTACAGCACTGCAGCAGGAGCAAATCCAGCAGCTGAGCCACAAGCGGCTCCAAAGGTAGGAAGGAGCATCCTCCTGTACCTGTTCCTTTGGAGGGCTTTCCTTCAGCCTGAAGCAGCCAGGAGAATGGCAGCAGAGGGAGGCAGCTCACATGTCAGCTGTGCTCTGCTGGTCTCTCATGGGGATTCAAATGAGGGGCACAGCTTATCCACCTGCAAGCCACTGTCCAGTTGGTCAGGCCCCAGCCTGTACTGGTGCATGGGGTTATTTCTCCCCAGTTTATATGATTTCATATTACTCCTTGCCGATTTTTATGAGATTCCTGTCACCCCATTTCTCCAGTGGTCTCTCTGAAAATTTGCATACCCATCTGGCCTGTTAGCTACTCCTCCCAATTAATTCTGTCACTGCAGGCTTGCCAAGGGGGCTCTGTCCCTTCAGCCAGACCAGTAAGGTGGGGTATTGATCCTGGGGTACTCCACTAGAAATCAGCCTTCAGTTGAGCCTTGTGCTGCTGAAATCAGCCTTCCAAGCCTGACTATTCTGTTTCCAGCCCACCTCATTTATCCAGTCTGTGCTGCATCAGCTTGTACATGAGGATGTTGTGGGAGACAGTGTCAGAACCCCAGGGAAGGTCAAGATCTGGTTTTGATACATCAGACTGGTCATTGTGTCATGGGTGACTATCAGCTCACTCAGGAGTGATTTCCCCTTTGTGCATCTGTGCTGACCAGTCTCAGTCACCTCCCTGCCCTTGGCATGTTTGGACACAACCTTGAGGACTCCCTGTTCCTCACTTTCCCCAGTACCAAGGTGAGGCTGACTGACCTGTAGTTCCCAGTTCCAGTGCTTGATGTCAGACTGGGCTGTGGGCAGGGAGCTGCCCTGCTCCCTCAGTGTGACAGACTGGGCTGTGGGCAGGGAGCTGCCCTGCTCCCTCAGTGTGCACATGCACGTTGCTGATGCAGTTGCTGGCCCTGGGCAGGGGCTGCAGTGAGCAGGGAGGAAAGCAGGGTGCCATGAGAGCGCCTCCCGTCACCCAGCGCAGCCCCTGAGCGCTCACGCTCCCCTTGCCCACCGCAGGATGCCAGTGCAGTACGTGCTTGGAGAGTGGGACTTCCAGGAGCTGACCCTGCAGATGAGACCCCCAGTGTTTATTCCACGGCCTGAAACAGAGGTATGGATGTGGGGAACGTGGTGGGGGCGGGCTTGGATGTGTGAGGTACGTGGCACGATACAATCAGGGCATTGCTGTGAAGGCATCTTATGTGCTGTGAGGCTGCAGTGGTGGGGAAATCACATCACTTCTTTTAGAATGGGGGCGGTTCAAAGCTTGTGATCTGGAGCTGATGCTAGTAACCTTTGCCTCCTGCCTCAGAGCAAGGGATGCTGCAAGCTGATGTATCTCTTAATTACACAGAAATCAATTGCCATTGATGGAAGGATGTGGCTTTGCTTTCCTTAGTTCTGCTATAGTAAGGACTCCTGAGAAGTTCAAAACATCTACTGCTATATCCCAGTGGCTTAGAGCATACAGGAACCTAAACATTGTCCAGAGGTTTGCCAGCAGAACCCTGCAGTAGCAGGAAAACAGTAATGCAATCCAGAGAGCCTGATTGTCCATGTGCTGGCTGGTAGGAAGTGGCACCTACTGTCTGTCTCATGGCTCCATAGTTGTTTCTGGACAAATACAGGAAACTGAAAGGTAAGTTCTGAGCTGGGCTGGAACTAAATGTGACAGTCATAAGAGTGCAAAGGAGAGCCATACATGACCAAGTTAAAACTCTGTGTTCCCCAGCATTCCTACTGCTATGGAAGAGCTTAAGATCTACATGGTGACACTTGGCCTGACAGTTGCCTAGTTTCACTTTCAGCACATGGGCCATCCTAGCAAGGAAACCTTTTTGTTCACTAGTCCTCAGGAAGCTTAGAATGTACAGGGTGGGTTTTTGTTTGGTTTTATTTTGGATTGGTTTGGGGTTTTTTTACCTTCTGAGAATTTGTTTTCTTTTGGAGATGAAGTGGAGATGAGTCCCAGAAACTTAAACCTGTTTCGGTCTAGTAGTCATTTCTTCAATTATTTGCCTGTTGTAATCTGCAAAAGTTAAACAGAAATTTAAGGACAAAGACAACCTGAGCTTCTGTTGTGCCCTTTAAAGAAAAGGATGCTATTGAAATCCATGAGGAGGTTCCAGAGCATTTAGTGGGAATCAGCACAGCTACAGCATAGACATCCTCTCAAATCACAGAGAGGAAGAATATTTAGAACCAGAGTCTTGGTTTGGTGTGGGGCATCAGCAGCACTTCATGGAGAATCTTCTGGGCCCTAAATCATAGTGCTGACACTTGTGTCCAGAGAAGCTGGGAGCTCTCTGCCTGGATGGGGTTCATCATTCTGTAGTGATTGAGTTTGGAGATGGAGCTCCAAGGAATAATTTTGCCAGTTGGAGCCAGCAATGGTTGCCTTTGTTATTGTCAACAGTATTTCTGCTCTGGATGATCCAAGAGAGTATTTCCAACCTCCAAATCCCAATTAGTTAATGGATGCAAAGGGAGCATTGAAATCAGGGAAAACTTGTATGTTCTGCAAGTCAAAATATCTTCTGGTGAGGCTTCCTTTGGAGCTGTGCTCTGGTTCTTCACCCCATGCAGTGCCAGGCTCAAAACAAAGGCCTATTGTGTTCATAGGAAGCTGGGCTGGCCAATGCTTGAGAATGTTGTTAATTGAGCCCAGATGCCTGATTTTTGTAAAAGCATCTCTGCTGGCCCAAACTGGAGTACAGTGCTGTGTTTGAAACCACTGAACATATCCTGGTGCAAAAATGGACTGTAAACAGCTTAACCCAGACTTGTCTCTGGCAAAACTTTATTTGTTGTGTCACTTAACTTGCTATGAAGGCACATTTTTAGCACATTTATTGCAGAAGACCAGAAGCTTGTGATAATGATTCAGGAGTGGAGGTCTGTGGGCAGTGGAGAGTTTGCTTGTGATGTGCTGGGAAGGTTCCTGTGACAGGAGAGCCATGGGGACAAAATCCAACTATTGAGCAGCACCTGGCAGGACATGGCTGTAGACTGGTGCTGCTTCCAGGAGCTGTGTCCTGTGTGTAACCTGTGCACAAAGGGGTGTCCAGCTCCTTTCCTTCTGCTGGAAGAAAAGCTGGTAATTTCTGACTTTGTGTGATGGGTTTGGGTTGGGCTTTGTCTATGTTTTGTTTCATCAGAGTAATTTTTTTCAGCCTTCGCTGGACTTGAAAACTGCAGTGCAAGTACCTGCTTTCAGAAATGTTAAAGTTCTTTGCATCTGTTGCTTACCTTTTGTTTAGAATTTGTCTGCAGTGTTATTAAAAGCAGCAGTGCTGAAACTTTTCACCAGATAATTTCTGTTCTTTAGGAAGCAGTTAATTGTTATCCCAGGTTCAAGTTTATCTGAGACTGCACAAGCCACGTGTCTTGTTTCTGGCTGAGAAAATGTGACTCCCTAACCTGACTCAGTGCAGATACACAGGCAGCTTCAAAATTTTCTTCCTAATTTTCTGTATGTAGCTTCTGCAGGTGCCTCCTGTGTGTTGGTTTGAGTCTGAGGAGAAGGGAAGCCATGTTTATGACACACATGTTGTTCTCTGGTTGCAACAGAAGGGTTATGACTCTTGCTCCAGGGCCTTGGTAAGGGCATGAAATTAAACACAGCATGACCCAAACCACGGGCATTGTTTCAGGCCTGGGGACAGAGACACATGCAGAGGGAGAAGCTCCCTTGTCTGCCTCATTCTGTCCTGTGTGAAATTTGCCCCCATGTGATCTGTTTGGTTCTCTCTGGTAGCTGAGCCCTCTCCTGTTCTCCCCCTGCGGGAATGTTTGTGCTGCACATGTGGCTTTGTTCTGCTGCTCCATGGGAATCTGGCTGGAAGGGGACAGGCAGCCAGAAGCAGGGAAAAAGCAGGTCCTAGTCAGGGAGGAAAGCTTTGGACTGGCTGCTGTGAGTGCTGGGAGGGTTTTGGGAGGGCCTTGGAACTCAGCATCCTCCCACCTTTCCTCCCGTGGCACCAGAGCCAGGCTCCTGCCCTGGGGAAGTTTGAACCAAAGTTATGGGGAGTGCACAATGAGTTATCTTTGTTAGGTGGTTATTGTAACGTCAAGGCATCCCTCTCTTGACACTGCTTCCTCACTAGTAATGGAGAAGAAAGACCTTTTCCCAAAGCAAGTATTTTTTTGAACTTCTAAAATTTTAGAAGTTCAAAATTTTGGTTTTTTGCAAGAAGTTCAAGTTTTTGCTTTGGGAGAAACAGGACAAAGAGGAGGAGTATTCACCCAGCCGTGGATATGTCATTCGTTTTTTGCGCGGGTGACTGCAGCTCTCTGGGGCTGCTTTGGCTCCGTCCAGGCCGCCTCCAGGGAGGGGTGTGGGATCCGCGGCGCGCCCGCCTCGTACCCCCAGAGGGCGCTCCAGGCTCACGCTCTGCGAGTTCCTGACGCTTCCATTTCCCAGCCGTTATCCCGGGGTTTCTCATGGTTCTGAGAAGGTTTCATTGCTCAGTGGGGAAAAAATGGCCATCGTTTGTGCTTTGCAGCTATTGATAGCTCCTATAGCAGATGGTGGGAACGAAATGTCAAGAGAAAAGGTGGGTGGGAAAGGGTCCCTTCTTCTCTTGACAGTCTGCAGTTAAGGAGTGTTCTCAGCCCAAGCTGGATTTGGGGCCATCCTGCTTCGTAATTGCTAATGGATCTGTCCCCCACTGATTGTTTAATCCTCTTTAGAGTCTGTCTGTGTCTAACCTCCCTGGCATCATGTGACAGCAAATCTTGTGTTGTAGGTTGGAAAAGTATATTCTTTGCTTCTGTGCTGCCTGCTTGTTTAAGCATAAAGGAAAACCTTCAGTTTTTACTGTATAACACTTAAATAATTCACTACAACATTTGTAATTTTTAGTTATGTCTCTGTCTATTCTTTTTCCACCTGTGATTTTTAAGCTCTTTTGCTTGTTTCCCAAAATAGGTTGTTTCTTTCCCATGATAACATGCTTGAAAGCTGAAGTCAATGCTGTTTACTTGCACCTGCCCGTGGAATGGCATTCATTGTGTGGGGTGTTCTGTGAACACACTTGAGTCAAAGATTGGCTCAGAGAAACCTTTAATGGAGTTTAACTTCTAGATAAACATAATCATTAAACTTTCAAGAAGGTCCAGCACACAGAGAAGGGAGAGTTTTCTTTTCCTGACCTGTATATGCAAATAAACAGATTGCAAGGTGGGCCCTTTCTCTCTCCAGTGTTTTATGTCAAAGCAGTCACACATTTGCTGTTCCAATCAGTGCTGAAAGGAAGCCTTTGATTCAGAAATGTCCTTTCATTTCTGTAATTTCTTTACCACAGATGGATACTTCTTGGAAAGGTCTGAAGGTCACACTGTCTAGTGAGTACAGCCATTAATCAAAAGTCAGAAGATTGGCTTTTTTCGTAGTTTTGCCTCTGAGCAGTTGTCTCTTCCAGGGAAGGCTGCATCCCCTTTCTGTGTAATGGGCTTCCCAGTCTGGGAAGTGAAAAGGCTAACAGTGCCCTGCCTTGACATAGCTTAAGTCCCTTTCTTGAGATATGTGTAGACTTGTATAAGGCATATTAAACATAAATACACTAAAGCATTATTTAATAAATCAAAAATTATCTGCTATCTGTCAAAATAGAGCTGTAAGCAAATGTGCTAAAGATTTGGGGTTGCTGTTGAGGCCTCACAGATCAGATTTTGCCCATATGATAGACAACACTTCATGTGTTGGAGGAGAAAAATATTTTCTGCAGGTGGGCTGTGGCACAGAGGCTGGGGAATGGAGGTCACAAAGGGAGCAGAGCAATTGGAATTGGCCTTTGAGCTAGGCACAAAGATCATATAGAGAGAGACAAATAAGGCAGCCTGTGCCTTGTGCCTGAGGCACTTGTGCTGCCAGAAGGGCTTGGAGAAAGATTTGGGATTGCCAGTGCCTCAGGGATATTGGCTGACCAGGAGCACCCACTTTTTGCTGCCCAGTGGGCTGATGGGATCCTTGCATGTGGGACAGGGGAGTGCCACGTGCACGTAGCAGCATCACATAATGAGTATTGCAGTAATGGAATAGCTGCAGAACTATTATGTCCAGTTATGTTACTGGCTGCTTGAGGAAGAAGTGGAAAATTAGATTTGGAG